CCAATGTTTTCTAAATGTACAGGTCCTTCCTGTGAACCTCTGGCTGCGTCAGATGAGTGTGAACATAAAGATGTCCACTGCTCTGGCCACAATCTAGCTGAATTACACTCCACGAGGCCTGAGAGGAGGTAAGATGTAGCTGTCCTATCATTTAGGTAAAGATTTTTAATTTATTCACAGTCTTAAAAGTTTTTTTTTTAACTGCATGTATTTCTGCAAAAACAGTTCTACTTGAAATAAGCCCAATATTCCCAATATTCCTCTTAAAAGTTTAATTTTTTCCACAGTTCATCTCAAGCAACTCAAACCTCTGTCGGCATTAATTTCTCTCACATGTCAGAGGCTCTGTCGCCTGGGCCCTCAGTCAGCTCTGGTTTGAATACAACGGATCTTGATCAACTGAAGAGGGAAAAACTAAAAATGCAACTAAAGGTCTTAAAATTACAAGAAGAGTGTTACACTTTGATAATAAAAAAACTTAAAAAATGAAGATTAATGCTTCTGTAAAGCTGAATTTGAAAAATTGTTGCAGTATGCCCACAAATGACATGCGTTATTTGGAGGTTTCGTTGGTTAATTGTTACTTTTGAGAAAAGCAAAAGTGTTCTTTGTCTTTGCTATACTCAGTTTTCCTTTCACACTGCTGATCACCGTGTTTTACTTTGTTTTAATAATTCCACATACAGCTGATATTTTCTTCTTGAAATTCTGAATAAACAACATTGATGCTTTTTATCTGTAAATTGTGCAGATGTTATCAAACTGTGTTTTCTTTGGACATTGCCCAACCTGTAATAATTATTGTAGGGAACAGCATTGTAATTAGAAGAATACATTCCTTCCTTTGAAGTGGCCTTGAGCAAAAGTTCTCCAGGTTTTCTTAAAGTCAGCCATCATTGGCTGCTTTGTCACTCATTTTCAGTCCAGATTTTTGTACGATGATTTGTAACTTTTGAAGACTCACTCATGTTTCAATCCACACATAAATACAAAGCAATCTGACACACATACATCTAAACCTCAATAAATACTGATTATTTACACACAATTTATTAGGTTCAGCTTTACGACTACGCATGCAAATGTCTAAAACTACATGTACCATCGCTCTCTCGCTCACTCACAAAGCCTAAAATCCATGTGGACAAATCACCTGATATGCACAGATCACGTCCCGTGTGGGGCTTTGAGACAAATTTAATGCTGAAATGATGTCATAATTAGTAACACAGCAAAATGCCGTGTTTGTTTCTGTTGACTTTTGAACAAGAAAATCATATTTATACAAATTTTCAAAAGACCCAAAAACATGTTTATTACATCTTTTGTTTGTGTTCAGGTGTCAAACAAACAAAAAAAATAGAATGGAAACTCTTTTTGTACATTTATATTTACAGTTCATTCATTTATTAATAACACGGACACTATTCTGTCATATTTTCTTCCTCCTCTTCCTCTTCTTCGTCATCATCGTCATCAAAATATTTATCCTCTGCATCTCTGTTGACAATGTCCAAGTTGTCATAGTCTGGATTCTCATCCACCTCCCTGTAACACAAACACATAAACACCTTAAGTCACTTTCAAAGCCCACAGTGTAGGATCTTTCTCATTTTCCACTGAACTTCAGAGTTTGTAACTTTTCCCCTCCTCTGGAGTCTCTTTACTAACTTGTGTTAACGTGCAACTTCACAACAGCTTGTACAGCACAGTCTCAATACGAAACAGAAAACAGTTGTGAAAAAGTTCAGTTGTTAGTAATGTATTTTCAGCATGGAGCATACTTTGAGCATGTGTCACGCAACATGCCCAGACAAAGTGGCAAACATGTCACTATGGTAACCATAGAGCTACAGATTCAAAAGAATTAGTGAGCGTTGAATTTTAGGCCAAACCGTGATCGTTTTCTAAACTTAAACCTGCAGCTTTTAATTCCTAACACCAACCAAGTTGTTTTTAGTGCCTGCACATAACCATGTAATGCATTTGGTATTGATAAAATGATTTTACATGTGGAAAGTACTGTGGAAAGACAAATCTGTGTATGTGTGTCCGGACAGATGAAAAATCGTGATCCTGGACACAAATGAATAAAATACAGGTCGTCTGTACCTCATGAACTGCCTTTAAACTGCGCTGAGCTGTAGCAAAAATAACTTTGGCAGATTACTGAGTTCTGTTATTCTGTGAACTGATAAATCAATGAGGAATGATCATCTCAAAGCTTTAATAACAAAACTAGTTATTTTTTTTCAGCAACATTCTCAAAAAGCCTGCTTACTAATTTGAAAATCTTACATTACAAACACCTACAAACATACACTAAGGCTACGTTCACACTGCAGGCAAAAGCGCATCAAATCAGATTTTTTGGACCCTATGCGACCCATATCCGATCATGGTATGACAGCGTGAACGGCACAAATCCGATATGGGTCACTTTCGTATGTGGTACTGAATCCGATACATATCCGATGTTTTAGAAAGCGACTGCTGTTTGAATGGTCAAGTCGCATTAAATCCGTCTTTTACGTCACTGACACAAGACAGACGCCAATTATCAGCGCCGGAGAAGCGCCTGCGAAGACATCGTGAACGCTTCCTGGCCATCCAGTGTAGATGTCAGTGAAACTGTTGGGAAGACAACGTGAACATTTTATTTGTACTGTATAATCTGCAGATTCTGACAGAAATCTGCAACTACCTTTGAAGCACCGCTCCTCTAAAACAGCAATAAGGATAATTATTAGGTTATTTACATTATTATGTAAATAACAAAATAACTTAAAGCAAAAATTGGGAAACGTAAAGTCCAAAGTCTTTATATTAAGGGCCATCAGTCAAACAATATTGTTTGCTCTGGGTCTAAACAGAGCGCGTTGTGTGTGACGTCTTGTTTTGCGCATGTGGGCCGCTTTGAGCGTTCACACTAGAGCACGTTTGCTGTCGCATTTTATGTGTAGTGTGAACAAGCAGACAAAAAAAATTGGATTTGATCAAAAAATCGGAATTGAGCATTAAGACCTGCAGTGTGAACGTAGCCTAATAGTCTGAGGAACTTGAGCTGTCAAAGGCAGCTTTAGGTTGGCTACAACGCGATGAAGAAGCCTTTGAACTGCTCTTGTGTGCTGTGTGACTGACCTATAGTTGAAATCCTTGTCTTTGCCATCCAGAAAACGCTGGTGCATCTGACTGATGAACTCCTCTCTGAGAAGAGTCTTCTCCTCCGGCGTCGGCTCCCATTCCTTCTGCTGGTCTCTGTCATCTACAGCATGAAACACAGAGCAGAATAAGAAAAGATGGAGGGAAAAGAAGAAGAAAAGAAAAAAGCCTCAATTTTCTTCTTTGCTTAACTTCAGTGTGAAGTTTTTTCTTCAACCCCAACTCTGACTGACCGTAGTCGTCGTCCTCCTCTTCTTCCTCCAGTGCACCGTCTTCCTTCTCCTGCTCCTCCTGCAGACGATTTTGGATGAGTCGTTCCTGGTAGGAGTTGAGGAGCAGATTGGCGAGTCCTCCTGTACCTTGCCCCGGCTCCCCGGGTCCTCCCTGTGCACCATCCAGCATGGCCTCCTGGGAGCGCTGTAGCACCTGCAGTATTCATGAAGGTAATTAGAAATATACTCTGAAATATACAAAAACATAATCACATATAAAACGCAAGATAAACAGAACTCACCTCTTCATCTGTCAGGTACTGGCCGATATACTGTTCGTACAGCAGCGGCTCCCTCATTCGCATCTGTTCTTCACTGAAGTACTGGCCATCTAGAAGAGGAGGCATGGCACAAAAAGAAACACAAAACAAAACCAGGCCGATGGCGAGTTAGAGAGAAAAACAGAAGTTGGTGGGTTGGCTGCAAGTATCTCAGTTGACATTATCAAAGACTAAAGCTATCTGCACAAATGCTGCATGGGTCCACTGTATCATTAACTGCTGCTGCCCCTACCCTTCTGCAGAGCCCTGAGCGCAGCATAGCGCTGATTCCTGACTCTGGTCCTGTCGGTGCGTCCTGCAGCCCGTCTCTGTATCACCTTGCTGTAGTGCTGTGCTCGTGGGTCTGAGCTGACATGTGCAAATGCTGAGAGATGCTGAGGCTTCAGGCAAGCCTAGAAATTGTAAGATGAAAAACAAAATATAATGGAATTCTTCACTTCTTTACCAACACTACAATATTTAGTTAACAATGTATTTTGAAACTGGATTTTTTGGAGACCTGTAATGTAAATGTTCCTGTCTGTAAATAACTTTTGGGTCAGCTTCTGTTATTTAATGTGTTATAGGTAGACATAACAGTCAACACACAGTCACAGTGCATGTTTGAAGTACATCTTTTCATTTCTAAACAATAATAACAGTTTATTCAACACAATTCAGTGCTCTGCAAACTAAACTCAGAGGACAGAAGTATCAGTCGTATCGCACTAGTACCAACCCAATATTTAGATCGATAGGCCCACCTCTACAGTTGGGCTCAGAGGAAGATTTAGTACTGAAAAAAATATATAGCTCAACAGCCATCAGCCAATGCTGTACTCTGCAAAATATACAAAGAATTTGTTCCCACTGAAAGTGAAAACAAGACACACTTCTTTCACTCCTTAAGGCAAAAACAAAGCTAAGTACAGCCAGGCTAAGGAGGAGGAGATGCTAACAGCTGATTATGTGTGACCCAAATGTCAACAAACGACTCCACTGTGTCATTTGAGCACTCGCTGGTTGCACTCCATATGACAGGAAGACTAAAAGGGATGTGGGAATTACTGACACTAGCACTAACTAGGCTAGTTTTGTGCTTAAATTTGATTCATGCTCTGTCACTACTATTGTACTACAATGCTAGCACCTTGTTCCAACAGAGTAACACATTAAGTGATAAAGAGTGCCATCAATGGCAGCACGTCACTGGGAAAGAAGTTTGCCTTCATTTACTTATGAATGTCGTTGCCTCTAAGCATCTATATTGGGCGATGTTGCCCTTCACTAACACACACACACGTTGAACTGTGGGCACATACATGGTACCTCTCCAGGAACACCAGCGGCCTGCTGCGGTACTGATGCAGCAGCTCCTCTCTGCGCTCCTGCACGGTCAGCTCAGCCTCTCCGATCTGCTGGCTCTTCACCAGAACGCCGCTCACAGCTATGGCCTCCATCATGGCATTCACACAGCTGGACTCACTCAGGTTTATATTCTGTATGATGAGCAGAAAGAGTAAATCAGCGAGGCGTCATAATGGCAGACCGCACCTGACACTGTGGTTGAAAAGAAAAAACAAACAAACGCTGTTGTCGCTGATTGCTTTACCTGGATGTCCTGCACCACCCGCTGGGTGTCTTCAGAGCTGCTGGAGTCACATCTCTGTCTCCGTGGCAGTATTATCTCTTCTATTTTCCTCTCGTCTTCAGTCTCACACAAGCTTGGCTGTGTTTTAACAGGAGGGTCGATCTCTCCCCACATCATTAACCGCGGTGTCACTTAGCCACCGTC